AGAAAGAGATAATCGACATCAGAATCCATTTGTATCGTTCAATTGAGTCCTAATGGTATCCATTCTCTTCTTCGCCCTCTGAAAGGCCAGAACTACAGACAATATATTCTGTTTCATTGAATTCAATGAAGTGGTCTTTATTTGATATTTATTTTTGTTCACAATCTTAGGAGATCTGGAAAATGTGTGATTCAATTAGCATTAAAAATATCATAAAATATGGATTAGTTGTTCATTATTACTGATTCTGGATGAGGACATCAATATCGACGGCAACAGAACCGCTTGACTCAGATTTTAAGCCATAATTATTCGTACATTTATTCTGTTTGAAAGAAATCAAAAACTATATAAACTTATCTAAAAAATAGTGAGAGACTAACAGATGTGTGAATCGAGTCTTTGTGTATATTGTGAACAAGAGGTGCGCAACCGATGAAGAATTGTCTCATTTTTTCCAACCGATTGTCTGTAAATGGTTTCCATGTATTGATGACCAGACGGTGTTTTCCCGGTCTAATTGGAAGTTCAACAAAACCATAGCTTTCAGACACCAATCGATTCCAGAAATCAAACGACAGGACTTTAATGTAAAGAATTGGTCTCAAATCTGTGGTAACATTGGTTTCATTGAATTTGATCTGAATTTGAAAGGGAGTGGAAAAGAGGGACAAATCGGTATCATTTGTCCAACACTTCTGTGTCGTCCCGTAAAACGACGATTCATTCAAATCGTTAACAAAAGTCCAATTCTTATGGCTTTCGACATAAAAGCAAACGCAAGAGTTGTGACAATTGAACGCTTTTGCAGATACTATGGGTTTAAATACACAGTAAATTAATTCAATGTACGTGAATGTGAGTGCAATGAAAGTGCATTGAAGTGCATGAATATGTAGAAAATGTGCTTGATAATTGTATAATTACAATCATATCAATGAATGTGCAAATAATCTATACATCCATTTTCTAATAGGTGCGCCCAAAACCTCCCCTTAATTACACTCTATTGTGTGTTTTGTACGAAATTTTGTGCAACTATTCAATGGTATTATAAAAAGTGGTGATAATTGAGTGTCCATTAAGTCTAATACAAGTATACAATAGTATAGTAAACACAAATTGAATGCACACTTGTTTTGTGTGTCAAATCATTACTGATTACCGATTGTGCCGTTAATGACAACCAAACTCTCATCAGATAATGATATCGCCATTGCATTCATATATACAGTACGTATACCAATAGTAATGACAAAACAAAATTAAATCAATAAATGAATTGACATTTTAATTATGCATTTCAAACAAAATTATGACTTTTACGCGATATTAATATGTTTTTGTGGAAAAAATATTTTTATGTAATAATCACTCAAAAAACAAAAACTTCCGTAAAAAACGTAACAAAAAAAAGTTGTAAAACTATAAAAATAAAAATTGCATTAATGTTTTCAATTGCATAATAGACTCAACCATTGCTGAAGATCTCATTACATGGGATAGAGAGGGGAGAGAGAGACAGAAAAAGTTGAGAAAAGTGTTTATAAATGAGTGAATTTGGCGATTATATGATTGGTATTGTTGTGGACTAATTGGTGATGACATGTTGTGAGTGGACTGTGGAGGTAGTGGTGATGATTGTGGATGTGATTAATTAGGGATTAGTGGCTGATCTGCATATATTGGTTCATATGATAGGAATAGGGTTTATTAGGCTTATTGAAGGGAATTGAGGGGAGTTTATATGTTCAATACACACACATATAGGGGTTTATAGTAATAGTTGTTATGCTGTGCTGTTAGTGCTGTTTGTGATGTGCATTGAGTGCTTTGTACTGTGCGATAGGTCTGGAGTGGTATAGCCTGACAGTGTATGGAGTGGTAGAGTGTGTGTACAGTGTGTTTGGTTGTACTGTATTGGCTATACTGTATGTATGGCTATGGCTAAGGCTATGGCACTGGAATTTAGACACCATTTTACGTGACGTTGTGTTTCAATGTCTCTCTTATATTGAGTTTTGTTATATTAATTCAATTTAGATATTATTAACACATAATATGTTTAAATGAAATCAAATACTATATCATCGGATGTGTTGTTCAATACACACATATAGGCAGTCGTATGTGTGTTAAGTGCACTAAACTTCACACCAACAGCTATTGTGCGTTCATCTGAAGTAGTATTGGATCAACTGATCCACCAATTGATGTCCACATTATCCACACCTAAACACACCAACCATTGAGTGGTTATATCGCGGATCAGTTGTGCGGATAATTTGATGACATTTTTCGTAATGAAGTCCTAAATATGAAACCTATATCTGAGAGACGTATCGCTTGTTTGAAGCGATTGTCTATCGCTTAACACTACTATCGGATCAATCAATACAAACCACAATTCACTTCACTCTTCACATGAATGTTAATCGTTGTCCACTTATATACACGACTATTATATACATGACTATAGCTATCATTGCATTCACTAATTGTGTGTTATATTAATATATAAGCGAATCGTTGTATTCAATCATTATTGCCAACAAATTATAGTTAAATGTATGTATCAATCAATCCAATCGCTTGATTGCGTCCAATACATGATAATCTTCAGGCCTTGACTTACCGTCTCTTTTTTTGTGTCCACTTTTGTTGCTGTTTTTGGTGTTGATTAAGTGTGTATTGCTTGTGATGAATAGGTCTCTACACGAGTCGAGTGGTGGTTACCTGCATAAGAGGCACACCGACCACCTGAGCCCGACCAACATCCCGGGCACCCGAGTCTATCCATACCCGGGCACCACTCAAGAGCCCGTCCGCAACTCATACCATCACTCGACCACCCATTCGGCGCCCATCTCTCATCACTTGAGCTCATTATATGGCATCGGCGCCAATAGCGGTCACTCGGCAGCCGCTGTGCCGCAAGTCTATCGAGAGACCAATTATTCGGTAATTATTGGACGCTATTTAACGTGTAGATGACTCGAAATTAACGCCCAATTATTTATCTCCCAATAAACAGGTCGATAGACACGAGTTTTCGCCCATAGATAGGTATAGAAACCGTAATGAGACCAATGAATTACATCACTCGAGTGGTGGCACTCACTCACACGTGCCGACCAGTAGTCACAGTCAGCCGCCTCTCGTACGAAGACGTCCATCACTTCTGCCACACGTGCCGAACGAATACAGTGTATTGGGCGCTAACGCGGCCCTCAACTCATCCTATATGAACCGAGAGAGGTTTGACATGAGAGCCACCATTGATTGAGTTTTATTGACTTAATATGTTGTGTTTGTTTGTTTAGGTATGACTTAGCCTATCGTTACGCATCCTATGAAAGCCAAACCAAGGGATCAGGCCTTCAATCGTCTCCAATGTCTATGACATCCAATACTGTGAGCCAACACACCGGTCCATCGCCTTTACATATGGTTCACCAGGGAATGCATCTGCCTTTGGCTTATCCCCATCAGACACAAGCGATTGTCTCGTCAGCACATATACCACAATCGCATACAATGTCTATAATCCAAGACATGACTGATATGAACGCCAATAAGAGGCCGAGACTAGGATTCGGTAACGACCAAAGGTCTTCACTCCATCAGCCATTACTTATCGATACCAGAGATGTAGTGGAAGTAAAAAAGGTAATAAACATTTGGTTTAGATGTGTGAACCACTTGTGTGACCTCTATTCTGATCTACTGTTTGCAATGGTTTGGGTTTGACTAATGTTTTTTTGATACGATAGGAACCGGCGTATACGCCACAAGTGGAGGCCATATCGCCGACACTACCCAATGATGATAACCGGCAGGACTTGTCTCCATTCAAGACAACAAAAGACGAGTTATTGCAGAATATAAACAAAATCGATAGAGAAATCATGCAAACGGAAACACAACTCACGAAATTACGTAAAAAACAGGTATGTCTTGCATTCGTAATGATTTGCTTAAGATATCATTTAATGTGTGCTTGAATTTACAGCAGGAGCTAGAATTGGTCACAAGTCAGCCGAGCGCTGATAACCAAGAGCTTGAGGAGAGTTCGGGTCTGGAATCACAGTTGAGTGTCGCACAAGTGATATATTCAGACAATAAAGTGAGTTCTCCTCTTTCAACGCAACCCATGTTATCTGAGATGACATTAATTTGTGTGAAATGTTTATTATTTTTAGGCCAAAACACTCAAAACACACACACAATTTGATAAATTGGGTCCCATTATTGAACTGGTAATCAAACACTTTATTATAATTGTTTATTGTGTTTATTTATCTAATGTTTTATCTCATGTTTCGCAGCCCCTGTATAACCAGCCCTCCGATAGTCCCGTATATCATGAAAATAAACGCAAATTTATTAGTTTTAAGAAGAAATTAATTATATTTTTTAAGAAGAGATATCAAGAAAAACAATTAAGAGAGCATTACTTAACGGATACATACGATAAGCTGATGCTCTCGTGGCTCAAGAAATTAGAGAAGAAGGAAACAAATCCGCCTAAAAAGCAAAAGGACGTGAAATTACGCGAATATTTTGAGAAACAATTTCCCGAACTTAGGAAACAACGCGAAGACAAAGAAAGGTTTTCACGCGTTGGGCAACGCATTAGAAGCGATGCCGAACTCGAAGAGATTATGGATGGCCTCCAGGAACAGGAGTTAGAGGATAAGAAAATGAGAAGTTATGCAGTGATTCCACCCATTCTAATGGATTCGAGACATAAAAGGCATTGTTTTATCAATCGGAACGGTATTATTGAAGATCCCATGTCTGAACATAAAGACCGACAAATCCTTAATATATGGACAGATCAGGAGAAGGAGATCTTTAGGGAGAAATATTTGATTCATCCGAAAAATTTTGCATTCATTGCGAGCTTTTTAGACCGAAAGAACGTTAGAGAATGTGTTCAATACTATTATATGTCCAAAAAGGGCGAGAATTATAAGCAATTGTTGAGAAAACAAGTAAAGAAGAGGACGCGAGCCTTAGTTAAAGCTCAACAACAGCAACAACAACAACAACAGCAGCAGCAGCAACAACAACAGGCCATTGCAGCTCAGGCACAGCCACCACCACAGCCCAGACCAACACCTGGTGTTGTTAACAGACAGACCGTTCCCGAAGAGATACCTAAAGTCTCGACACCTGTAACGACCACAACCGCCACTACAGTTGCGGTCACTTCAGCGGTGAACACGATTACGAGTACAACCAATACGACTAGTTCTCCAGACATGTCTAAAGTGTGTGATTCAGCAATTAGTGTGACGGAAGTGGCGCCCGATGTGAAGCCGGACTCAATAGTGAACGACAGTCCCATAAAGTGTGATAATGTGATAAATAGTGTTAACAATGCCAACAATGATGAGAATATAACACCCTGTGATACCATGTGTTGTCTCTGTCACACAAAAATAGACAATCCCTCGAAGTCAAGGCCTGTCACTCAATCCAATCTAAACGTGTATAACATAAGCGACGGTGCGTTCAAACAGGGAATGCGTGTGTGTCTGGTCTGTCATCACAAGAACGTGCGCCGCAATTGTCCGCTGCCGTCGTGTAAGACTCCGCGTCGGAAAGTGAAACGATTAAAGCCTTTCCCTCAACAGTGGTTTGAATTAAGTGCCGAAAGTCGACAAACCTTTGCTAATGAGCTCAATATTGCCGATGAGGTGCGCACTGCGTGTCCGCGATGTGTGATGAGAGTGAGCCGACGTATAGGTCTGATCGCACCGTCCGATCGGACAGACATTAATCAAAACAATGAGTCTCCGACGAGTCGTCTTAGTTGTTGGACAGAGAGTGAGATTGAGTTATTGAAGCAATCAATTCGCGAATTGGGTAGGAATTGGTCGGCGATCGCTAATCAGATCCGCACAAAGACTGACAGAGAATGTCACGATTTTTATTCAAAAAATAAATATTCTCAACATTTAGACAAAATTCTTAAAGAATTTTTAGTAAATTCGGGCAAAACAGTGAGAAATGCCGACTCAGACTCCGATGACTATTGGAATTGTATGAGCGAAGGCGACAGCGAAGAGACTTCCAGCGCTGAAGAGGGCAATGATCGGTGCAATAGCGATACGGCCAGTGCCTCGAGTCCTATCAGTAAGATTCCCGACGATATTGACACCAAACTGTTGGCCGAGAAGACGGATAACACCGTCTGTTCGACAACTAATCATAATTTTCGCGAAGATTTTACTAAACTTCAAGACTACAAAGTGTTGAGCGCATCGCAAACGAGTCTTAAAAGTGATTACGACAGCAGCGCCACAATGAGCGCCGATGAGGGACAGGGGAACGGAGACAACGACCGCCTGTCGTCCTCACCCGCTGTAATACTGCCGCCAAGAGCTAACTCAGCGATGCCGGCATTCCCGCCGTCCAACATATACTTCCACAACCAGCCCATCGATAAACACGTCCGACCGGCCAGTCATGACGCGGCCTTCGCCATAGACATGATGAGGAAGTCTTCGCACTCGCCGTCCGTTTTGCGAACAACGGAAGCGCCGAGTAATCTAAACACTAATATAAACCCTCTAAACCCTCGCCAAAAAGTACCCCCTTTTCTCATTAACCCGAACGCACCCTCGACTCAGCCATCAGTGAACCCGTCGCACGTCAATACCGCGTCCAATAAGGAAGAGCCCACTTGTGTCCGAGATTTGATATATCAGGCCATAGAAATGAGTCTTCAAACACCTATTAAGACAATGCGTCCCAATTCACAGCAAATGGTCAACAATGAGATCAATAAAATGGATCCAAACGATGCCATCACATCCTCTTTGTATTCGTTGCCTAACATTAAACGAGAAAATTTATTGGATATATCGAAGAATGATATGAATAGAGAGAGTCCGTCGCGTATTATGTATAAGAATGCGGACATTCAACGTCCTGAAGGGTTGGCAATGATGGCCTCGTATTCCCAACATTTGAGCCCATCTTCAGGTCATTCAACACATCCATACGTTATGGTCGAACCCGACGAATACGAAGTGCAAGACCTGAGCGCCAAAAAGGAGCGACGGATTGATAACTATAGTCCACGAAATTATAGCCCATCGATGAAGGATAAAATGATGGCTCATCGCAATGAATACCCGTACGGCTTAATACCGACCGCACATTCCAACCCCAATCGTGGCTCCACTCCAGTCACCGAACCTAATGTTGACATTAAAGACAATTACAATCTGATGAAACACATGGACTCTTCCGGGCGTCTAATGAATTCAAATTATCAGCAAAACGAGAGAATCCATTCGCAAGACATGAAACACTCGAGAGCTTCTCCATTGAGTCGTCCGCTAAATAAAATGCCGGTCACTAAAGGCAGTCCCGTTCCTCCGCCGCCCCCTTTGATAACATCCGGTAAACCAAATCAATCGTATTCCCAATTATCGCCCAAACCGTACAGAGAAAAACTGGTTCCTGTGTCCACTGCCAGCGGTGGATCCATCACTCAGGGAACGCCTGGAATACCACCAAATAGTTATGGTTACCCTCCCAATCGATATGAAGGACTTTTGCGACAAATCCCACCGACGGGTGTTCACAAAGAAGGCGGTTCCATAACATTGGGAACCCCTCTAATGGGTGGCGCAACCAATATGCCTATCGATCACAGAAGGAAAGCCGAATTAATGGCCGCCGACTCCAATAGGGCTCAAGCGATGGCCCGCAATAACCCGATGTATGAGCAAAATATGGAGCAATACTATCGCCGATCGTCACCGCCGGGCACTCACTCTCATCCCTATTCACCAGCTTTTCAAACCTCAGACTTTGCAAAGATGGCTAAACCAGTGTTTCATAAAGAGGCACAACTCAGTACAAATCAAATTATGATTGATTTCAATACATCCAAACAAATGCTAACCAGACGTGGAAGCAATTCAAGCGACAAAGATATTGTCGTCACCTCTGCTCCGATTCACAGTCACACCCATTCGGCTCCTATGGACTCGCGTTCCACTCATAGCAATGAACACAAGAATTCTTCGCAAAATAGACAAACAAACTCTTATCCGAATTACAGTCAGAACACATCCAATTCTTCCTCTTCTGCCCCGATATATCCCGATCGAGTGCCTCAACGCGAAAGTCAACCACCAATGATGACCTCATCTGACCCTCATATGAGCCACTGGTCGGTCAGGCATTCATCAATGGGCGCTCAAAGTCCTAATTATGTAAGCAATTGATACTTTAATAGTAATTGATTCAAATTGTTTGACTTTTTAATTACATTTGTTCAGAACCGTCAAAATGTGATACAGCATTGGAACGCCTCTAACACTAAACAATCTGTTATACAAACACCAAAATCTAGTTCCCCTCGAGATTACAGAACCGAAGTGATCAGTCCTGTGGCTAATCCAGCGATGAGAACATCGGTGTCTCCTCAGGTGCCGATGACGTCATCGCTGTTTAGCCACCAACACGTGGACGCCTTCACAACTCTGGTCAATGCGGCGGCCGCTCAACAAAGCCTCGCCGTTCCGTCGATGGAACGACGGCCCGGTTCTGTCTCGCGAACCGATCAATTGATCCGTTCGAGTATCAAACCGAGTGCCGAAGGGTTGGAAAAGTCTTTGATTGAGAACTTTCACGGAAGGCCTCCACGAAATTATTTAGAAAACGATTTGAATAAATCAGACGACAAAATGAGACAATTGTCGCACGAAAATGATTACAAAATGTTTCCGGGAAACCGACCGCCGATTAACGACTACATGTATTTAGACCAACGAAGAAGATATGAGTTGGATTTGGCAGACATGGAGAGACACGGATATAACCGATCGATGGCCGAACATCCGGGCCATTCTGTATCGCAACCGAGTCTTCGTTTCTCTCGCGAGCCGTTCACTAAAGAGCAGTTTGAGAAAGAGTTCGTACAGCAGACCAGCGAACCCAATAGGGATCCAGGAATTCGACTTAAAACCGAAGACTTAGAGCCCACTCCTGAGATGAGACACTCCCTACCAGTGGTCAGACCGCCGATGACTGAATTGGATAACGAGGCGTCCAAACTATTCTCCCAATCATTTCAAAAGGACAACCAAAAGGCGAACTCTTCTCGCGGACAGTTTACGGCCGCTAACTTAATTGACGCCATTATCACCCATCAGATCAATTCATCCACTGAAGGAGCGAACGCCAAAAACAATGGAAATGTTGTCAATAACACACCCGTTAGTGAAGCGCCGCCGACCGGAATCGTCGACTCACTGTTTGCGAGATATAGAAATTCAGAGAAACACATCTCTTCTCAATATCCCAATCGCGAGGAAGTGGTGACAATAGCTGACAGTCCGTCGCCAGACAAAGGACACCATTTGAATGAGAAACTAATGCCGGGAATGAACGCTATGAACGCTGGCGTCACACCATCTGATTATTCCTCAAAAGGCATTACATTAGGCGAACACATCGATACACTTATATCCAAGAATTATACGAATGACGGGCGAACTCAAGTCAATCCACACCAACCAATAGATACTAGAAGTAGTCCATCCGTTTACGGAATGCCTTCAATTTCTATAGAACCGCCTCGAAGTTCGCTACTGCCTGTTGTGTCCACTTCGTCACCAGTTCTGGAGGGCATCGCAGCGGCCGCCGTCTCCAACGCCCCCTCAGATGCCAACAATGCTGTCAATCATTCGCCGCCGCATTCGAGTTGGAAACTCAGGAAAGCCTTACAACAGGACAAAGACGCCAAAGAGACAGATGAGCGACAGATCGTTCGTATCGTACAAAATGTCTCTCCAAAAGAGAAATCAGTGTATCCGTCGCCGACACCAATCAAATCAATCTCTCCAGCGCTCAGCCATTACAACGTTGAGCCCATTTCGCCGCCGACCTCACACTCGACCGATAATAATAGTCCGCATTTGACGTCGACTTACAATCCAATGCAAACGACATGGACGCCCACTACTGGTGTTCAGACGAGTTCAATATCCAGTCGTCATTTCTATACCGCCGACAGTTCTAACGTTTCTAATTCGCCGAATCTCTTGAAACCAATGCATCAAACGGTGTCCACTTCTAATCAATTGAATGTCAACTCGAATCGTGCGAATCAACCGCAGATCGGTTTGTCTCCAATCATTTCGGATTACGTGAAGAACAGAATTGTTGAGGTAATGAAGAATACAAGGGATGAAAGTGTCGACGATTCTGTTAAACGCGTTAATAATGATATGTATTCACAACAACACGAGAAGAGAGCCAAAGAGGACAGTGAGCCCAAGCTATCCAACGATTCCAATGATAGAGTTGTGTCCATTGATTCCACAATGAATATCAATGAAACTATTAGTCATATAAGCCGTGAAATATCGAAATCTCCGGCAGTTATTGACACTTCAATACCAGTTTCCGCCGCCTCTTCAGCCCCGGAGTCGATCTCTTCGTCGAATTCTCATAATATTGTCAGCAATGAAAGCGAGTCATCAGAAGGAACGCCAGCGAAACGTATGAAAATCTCGAGTGAACAGCAATTGACTGATTGTGGAAAAGTCGAAACCACTTCTGACACTAAAGCCGACGATTCCATGTCGTGCGACAAAACCGCATCTTCGGACAGGGGATCAATTGATTCCGAATCAATCATTAGTCAAACATCTACTCAAATGCCCGTCAATTCAAATGAAACTCAATCGACAGAAAACGAGCCGAAAGTTTCATCCGAAATGATTAATAAGCCGACGACTTGTGAACAGTCCAACTGTGAAGTGAGTTCTGCGCCGTCAGCTCACGACACGAATGCCGGTAAACCGGATCCGAAGCACATATACCCCGATAGTCCCAATTCTCCCGGAGAAATGGTTATCGACGAATCCGATCACAATTTGTGCTCCTCTTCGCCGCCCATCGATAAAACCCACGGCGAGAGTCCGCCCACTTCTAACACCACATCCACACAACAGAGTCTCATATCGACTACAGGTGTTGTGAAAAGCGATTCGCCGAACGGCGCCACCAATTCTTCGGCCATCTGTTCGACGAGCACTTCTGGCGATCAAAATCAAAGCGAATCAGTTTCGTCGTCAGTCATTGAGACGAAAAGCAGATTCGCCGAAGTGAGCGCTCCGACCAGTTCTGCTCCGTTTGCTGTCAAAGACTCGCCAGCTTTGGCAGCATTGATGACCAATTCAGTAACGCCTCCACTCGTTGCCACCCATTCTGACGCATATAAAGCGGTCAACACTGCGGCCAACAATGTCTCGAGTTCTGCCCTTCCGAGCGCCGAATCCAACACTAATGCGGGCGACTCTACCACCAAATGCTCGGCCAACACTTCCGGAGGTTTGCCATTGCATTCATTTGTTGTATTAATAATTTGCTAACATTTGTATTGAATCCAAATTGCAGTTTCGTCTTCGATTAGTACGAGTGGAGAATCGGTGACCAAAAGTAGTTCCCAAAGCACTGGAAGCGCGTCGATCCAGTCTTCGGCCATCAGTGGCAGTGGGACGCCATCGAGCACTACAACCAGCCATCTCTTGGCCCCACAATACGAGCCCCTTTCAGACGATGAATAGTTCTATTTATTCGCAATTATCTTCTAACACCACATCCACACAACAGAGTCTCATATCGACTACAGGTGTTGTGAAAAGCGATTCGCCGAACGGCGCCACCAATTCTTCGGCCATCTGTTCGACGAGCACTTCTGGCGATCAAAATCAAAGCGAATCAGTTTCGTCGTCAGTCATTGAGACGAAAAGCAGATTCGCTGAAGTGAGCGCTCCGACCAGTTCTGCTCCGTTTGCTGTCAAAGACTCGCCAGCTTTGGCAGCATTGATGACCAATTCAGTAACGCCTCCACTCGTTGCCACTCATTCTGACGCATACAAAGTGGTCAACACTGCGGCCAACAATGTCTCGAGTTCTGCCCTTCCGAGCGCCGAATCCAACACTAATGCGGGCGACTCTACCACCAAATGTTCGGCCAACACTTCCGGAGGTTTGCCATTGCATTGATTTGTTGTATTAATAATTTGCTAACATTTGTATTGAATCCAAATTAGTTTCGTCTTCGATTAGTACGAGTGGAGAATCGGTGACCAAAAGTAGTTCTCAAAGCACTGGTAGCGCGTCGATCCAGTCTTCGGCCATCAGTGGCAGTGGGACGCCATCGAGCACTACAACCAGCCATCTCTTGGCCCCACAATACGAGCCCCTTTCAGACGATGAATAGTTCTATTTATTCGCAATTA